TTATAACTACTCAAGGTTCATTAGTATTTATATTACAGAAATCTTGAAGACATATGTATATCCTGAATTCTATTTATAGGTTGTATACAGTTTGGCTTCTGAACTATTCCCTCATATACTCTTGATGACTTTTTCAATAAAAGGCAACTATAGTGCAGTGATTTATAGTGAGGATGTGCCTCCAAAAAGGGTACTTTCTCCTTATAAAATTCTTTTAACTTAGAGCCTCAGTCTTATAATTAATTGAGAATAAAGCAATTATTGGGAAAATGTTCAATCCTGTTCTGTGGATTTAAATGTTACCTGTTTGTGTTTTGTGAAAATGAGGTGGACTACGTTTTGATTTCATGAAGACAAAACTCTGTGGAATAAACTAAGATAAACAGTGAGGCATCAGAGTCCTCCTTAAGATCATTTCTTCTGAAACTGTTTAATTTAAACATATATGCAAATTTCATAGGTTTTTAGATTGTGGCAGCTTTTTTCTATTTGAGATAGTGTCTTGTTACCTTTGTTAATTTTTTAAAGGTTTTTTTATTTATTGAAATAAATTTATTATATTATTTGTTGAAATAAGGTCTTGTCTACATCAAATTCAGCTTTCAGCTGAGCAAATGCTAAACAGTGAAAGGAGAAATATCTTCCAGGGGACATATTAAGAAGAGTATTTGTAAATCCTCTAAACTTTGAAGAGTTGGTCACTCATAGAATTGAAGAGAATTTACACCTTTTAAAAAATATTAATTCTCAAACACTCCCATTTTAAATTTGTAGAAAGCTTTAATCAGAATGACACTGTTGAGATAATTTAAAAACCAGATCATTTTATTTTAAGTCATAAAATCTTGAAAATTGTTAATAAGGCTTGACTCTTTATTGAAAATGTAAACAAGATTCCTTGAAGACATATCCTGCATGCTGCCCTATTACAGAATTTTAAAGATAAATGAAGACCGTATTTAGGATACTGTACCTTAGAGAAATTGACCATTGGAGAGCCATTTATCCTGTTTACATTTCCTTAAAGATAAAATTGTTGTCAACTATTTGAAAATTGGCATTCAGTGATATTGCTGGTAAATATTTAACAACTTGCTAGGATGGGGGAAATGAGGGGGTGTTGGGATCCCTGATATATATTATTTTCTGATTTACATAGTAAAATATTTCTGTGAGGTGACAGGGGGTCATGATACTGGGAAATATTAAATTAAGCAAGTAGAGGAGAAATTACTGGCAAATACTGAGAAGATGGTTTCTTGTCTTCCTTGTCCTCCTCCTCTTCAGCTAATTACATATCAGAAGCCATAGGCTTAGGCCAGGAAGATCTGATCTCTGTGGGATGGTTAAAGGGCTCCGGAGAACTTAACGTGGGAAATCCTCCATGTTCCCTTAACTGGCAGTAAATTTAACTTTCTTTTTATGTTAAGTAAATATTAACATCAGATAAAATAATTTCTAAAAAGTAAAAGGGATCCAATGGAAAAATTCTTGTGTGTTTAAAAGTCACTAAAAAGGATTTTTTTTTAAAACTGAAAGATAAAGAATTGTAGAAAAGCAAATAAAATATTCCACATTCCTCCAGTCTTGGAAAGGAACTTCATAAAGAAGAGATCAACACAGAAAGTCACACACAGAGATATTTTGTTATTTGATTAAGCCAATGGTTTGCTCCTCAAGTTAGAACTTACTCAATTATATGTCATCGGATTGTACAAAGAAGATAACAATCCTTGTGAAGAGTAAGTCCATTTATTCCATGGGCAAGCCTCAAGCACCTTGAAAAATATGTCCAAACCACATATCTCTATTCCCTTTTGGACAAAAATAGATAGATAGATATAAAATTAAAAAACTTTAGGGTCAATTCCATCTTTTTCTTTCAAATATATTAGTTTTGATTATTACAAATTAAATCTTTACCAAAACATTTCTCATATGCTCTTTATCTTTTTTATCTTTTTTATTTACATATCATTGATACACAATTTTATATTAGTTTAACATATACAACACAGAGGTTTAATAGTTACCCATATTATTTAAATCCTCACCCCCCACTAGTGTAGTTACTATCTGTCAACATAGAAAGATGTTACAGAATCATTCACTATATTCTCCAGGCTGTACTGCTATCTCCATGACCAACGTATATTATGCTTGAGAATTTTTATGCCCCTTTATCCACCTCACCCCTCCCACCCCAACGCTTCCCCCATGGTAACCACCAGTCACTTCTCCGTGTCTGTGAGTCTACTGATATTTTGTTCATTTTGTTTGTTTTGTTATATTCTATAAATAAGTGAAATCATATTTTATTTGTCTTTCTCTACCTGACTTATTTCACTGAGCATAATACCCTCTATGTCTATCCATGTTGTTGCATGTAGTTCCCTTTATGGCTGAATAATATTCCATTGGGTTTATGTACCACATCTTTATCCACTCATCTATTGATGGACATTTAGGTTACTTCCATATCTTGACTATTATAAATAATGCAGCAGTAAACACAGTGGTGCCTATGCT